TTTTTTTTTTTTTTTTTTTTTTTTTTTTTTTTTTTTTGACCTAATTGTAGATAAAATTATCTTTTTTTTTATTTTAATTTTTTATTTATGGGTATTGTGTGGGACCGACTTTGTGAACTTTGGAAACCATTTGGGCTTGGGCCTTGTTTGAGTTGGGCCTATATCTTTGGTCTTGGGCTTGGAGGCAAATTCTTCCAACCCAATTACTGTGTCGGTCTTGTGTGGGACCGACATTATTTAGGGTTTGTTTTTTTGTCATATTTATTACACGAATTTGTCGTTGGCTTATACAATGTTTTTATGTACTTAAACTAGTGACGTGTCAGCTTGTGATTGGTTAAAGTTTCCTATTCAATATTTGAAATGTAGGAGTATGAAACATACTAGATGAACATTAATATATGAATGCCCTATCGAGACAACTCATTCACGCGTCTTAGTGTTAAATTTTGTTCACCCGTTGAAAATGCTAAGTTCATCACTTTTTTTTTTTATTGTTGATATTTAAGACGTTAAAAGATGATTAATTTTCGTTGATTTCAAAAGAAAATAAGTAAATTAGTTAATTATTTAAATCTAAGCTCGTGCTAGTTTAGATAAATAAGTGATAAGAAATTCCAACTTTAAGTGGAATCATGCTTGTAATCCCAGTAAGTTTAGGAGAATATAATATTAAAGAAGTGTTCATATGATTTGAAAACTCGACCAATCTAGACTATCAAACTCAAACTATAAAGGCACGATTGGATATATATATATATATATATATATATATATATATTATAATTTGAGTTGGATCAGTTCGTGGGTTGACATTTTTTTTGTCGGGTCAAATCGACCCATTTGAAAATAGGTTCAATCTAATCCCATTTTTAGAATTATTACAAAGATTAAGAATATTTAATGTTGGTAACTAATGTCACGAATATTTACGATATTAAATTAATGTAATATATAAAGGGAGTAAATATGTTTTGTACTAGTAATAATAAAAAAAATGAGGTGGAATTGGGGTGTCACTCAGGTTCGATCTCGGTCCAAATTGATTTACAATCTAATAAAAATCGACACGTGTCATAAGTATATAAATACATATAAAACAATCATCGTTAGCGCCGGAACAAACAAGCCGATTCCCTCCAAATTTAACTTCCCTTTTCCCACCCGAGGTTCCTGCTGTACTCCGGATCACGTTTCGTTACGAACAATGCTTAATCTCATTCTAAGAGATTCTCGACCCTAGCACCCACATTTCAGTAATCAGATCACTGACAATTAGGCGTAAATTCATGGACTGACCGGCTGAGCAATCGGGGAATGCGGCGGAAGTTGGCGCCACTGAGATCGTTAAACGGTTGCTCAGAAGTGTTCGCCGTCAAGAACAGGAGGAGAATGGAGTCGATCCTGAGAAGGAACAATTACGGTGAGGATGAGGAGTTATGCGGGAGTCGGAACAAGAAGAAAAGGAAGTCGAAGAGGAAGATGACGCCTCAGTCGAGAAGTTCGAAGAAGGTGAAGTGGATTTAATTGGATAAATTACTACTCTAATTTCTTCATGATTGTCGATAGGTCCGAGAATCGTTGTAGCATGAGTAGTTCAATTAGACAAAATTACTCGATGTTTGAGTTGCGAATTAGGAAAATGCTGGAATTAGGTCCTGAAATATGATATATGATATGTTTTTTTTCGGTAATTTCAAATTGGACTAGGTTTGCACCTTTAAATCAAACTATAGTCATCTCCAAGATGAAATAACTATGTTTTACAAACAGCAGGCGAAGGCAAAGCGAGCCATGAACATAAGAAAATTGTTCATTCTGAAGAGGCAACACCGACAATTCCCGACATGCGTCTGTAGGTAAAAATGATTAGAGAGGTCAGTTTATAGCCTTTTGTTGCTCTCTCACAAATTTAAGTTCCGCATGTCAATTGTGAACTTGTGTTCTATCAGTTGCTGTTCGTGTTTTCATGATGTGCTACTCGTTGAGATTTTAGTTTATATCTCGGTTTTGAAATTTCCACCCTTGAATTTGGAGTTTGTATATGAAGTGATTGTTGCATTTATCCTTGCTTTTTTTTTTTTTTTTTTTTTTAAAATCGAGGGTGATAATATTGATAATACCAAGCAGGATGATGAACTATCTCCAAACAGGAAAAATTGGACATTCACTGACAGAAAATATTGTAAATAATGGCCATACATTACAAAAAGCTTGTTCTTCAGTATTCGAAGGCTTGTTAACTCTTTAAGTTTAGGCGACCTTCCATATGTGTTGCCACCCTCCGATTCTTCTCCGAGCCCATGGATCATGATCCCATTGAGTAAGCACTCATCACTAGCCCAGTAGGGCCGAACTCAATAACTGTACGAGTCCATCAAAAAGTTTTTAGAATGTTTTATAGAAAGATTTAGCTATCTAGACATTTTGGAAATAGATATTTAGATATCTAGATATTTTAGGAATAAATTTAGAATATCTTAAAAAATAAGATAAGAAGATCACAAATATGCAAAAAATATGATAGAAGATCACAAATGTGTGGTCTACATTATCTAGCATCTACTGTAAATACCCTTCACCTCCACCAAGTTTTCACCCGATTTTCATCCAAGAAAAGAAAAGTGTAGTAGTGTCGTAGATAGTGTCTTGTAATATCCTTCACCTCCACGTTTAGCTACTTTCGAGTATTTGGTTGAATTTGCTACGTATTTGTGCCTAGTCATCTACACAACAAGTTTGACAAGAAAGCAGTCAAGTGTGTATTTGTTGGATATGACAATCAAAGAAAAGGGTGGAAGTGTTGTGATCCAACAAGTAGAAGATGCTACACTTCAAGAGATGTAGCTTTTGATGAAGCATTGAAGAAGAAAGTCTTACCATTCTCGAACAACATTGAAGAAATTCTACGACAGAAGACTGGAAGCAAGCTGCACACATTTATTCAAGTGTTGATGCGCTTGAAGATCCAAGTGACACTTGATGTTGGTGAGCGAGAAATGCTCAACTAAGCAAACTCGGTGAAAAGGAAATGACACCTCAACAACTTAGGTGGTCCTAAAGAATCCAAAAGGCAAATCGTAAGTATGTCAACGCAACTATTAGAGAAGACAAATGACCAATAAAATCCAAAAGTCAAATCCTAAGTACGTCAACGCAACTATTATAGAAGACGGATGACCAATATGGTACAGTGAATGAGTGTTAGTGTTGAGGGGGGATGTTAAAAGATTATCACTAGCCTAATAAGGTCAAACTCAATAATTTTACGAGTCTATTATCTAGAAGTTTTGAATGTTCTAAAAAGATTTAGATATCTAGATACTTCAGAAATAAATCTAGACCATATATAAATACCCTTCCACTCCACCAAGTTTTTCATCTAAGAAAAGAAAAATGTAGTAGTATCCTCTAAAGAGTGTCTTATAATCTCTTGGTCTTAATAAAGAGTATGAGTGTTTCCACAAAAGAGTTGTGGTCAATATTAAAGAGTTAATGTCAACTTTATGCAGGATGCTGACAAGGAAATAGTGCTCCATCACCTCCTAAAAAGTGCAGAAATGGTATATTTCATCCTGCATTCAAGTGTTTCTTTCTTTCTTTCTCTACTTTTGAAAGTTGAACTGTTTCAATTTAAATTTCACAAATTGTAACCTGCCGATGTCTATTTTTGAGCTTATCATCTACTTCTCGTGAATTATTATCAGGATGGTAACCTGAATAAAACACTTGGGTTTAGTGATTCTGCAGAAAGGCCAATTCTTGAGCATCAAAGTAGATTTCTTCAGGACAGGTTGTTACTAATTATGAATGATTAAGTTCTTTGATCTCTCTTCTTGTTCCTAGAGAACCATGACTTTTATTTACATTTACCCCCTTCCTCTCAAACGCTGCCTGCCTTAATTATGATATTGAAGTCTAACAGTTACGTATTTCTATTTTACACAACGATAAACTTTCTTAAAAGTTTAAAATTTTACATGTTGTTCTGTGTTGTGGGTTGAATTTTAGTATATTCCCCCATCTTTTCCTGCCATTTTCCTGCTTAATTTTATTGTGAACGTTTCTTTTTAACTACCGAGAGAATTAATTGATACGAGAGGTGGAAGAAGCATGCTAGGCAGAGCTGTTGACCATAATTTGAAAATGCTGCGAAGACTAATGGCTTCAGTGTATGATACCTACTGCAAATGTGTGCTCATTTCACTTATTCGTTTCACGATTATAATATTCCTCCATTTAAGGATATGGGATTTTAATATATCACTTGGTTCCTTTACTGCTCATTTAGTTGCTGCTGTCAGTTTATTACTTCCATTGACAAGCAAACTTGAAGTGTGGTCGATTCATAATTTACATGAGGAATTAGTAGTTTTAAACCTTCATAGTTCTGTAATGTCTTGCATTATATTATTGTTATTCGATTAATGCATCATTCATTCTTATGAATGGCTTCTTGCATTTCTAAATGTTTCAACATTTCAGTGGTAGTTTTCTATAGGTATCTTTGGTGTCTAAAGAGATGATAGCCTGAAGAATATTCTCCTCATCACGGGATCATCTGGGGTATGCAGAAACTCACTATTATCACCTGATCTATGTTTACGTTGTTTAGATTTTGTACTTTTCATTGAAACAATGTGTCTTGTCTATGCAGTTTCTTCTTTTTAGTCTTGATGATATCTTAAAATTAAGTTGAAGCTGGTTTTGTGAAACTCTGTTGGGTTGTTTTTGTTCATCGTTGTAAATACAAGTAAATAAATCATTCTTTTGGCCGTTGTATGTTTCTTTGCCATTTTATTCCACCTCCACATCTCTTCTGAATATTTGCTACTTGTATGGTGTTAGATGGCTATGAAGGCAACTGAAAATTTGTTTTGAGGTGCAGCTGTGCCATATTTTTAGTGGAATTCGTCTTTAATTCTTGCAAATTATCATATTAGAATGGCATATATTCTCGAATATCAAATAGTTTTTGTTTTTATTTTTTTTATTGTTCATTTGTCCTATGAGTTGAATGTTTACTTGAGGAATATTTGTTATCTAGGAAAGACTAATTGAGTATGAGTTTGCTGAGTGTTTTTATTCTATATGCCAATTTATCTACTCAAAATTTGCCAACTTTGCACTGTTTCTAGTTTGCTTGGAGTCTGGACTACTCTTTTTTTTTAAAAACTTTTGTTGTTGTTGCTTTTATGGATACAAAGAAATCAAGGGACTTCGATTGTTAATAACCACAGTGCTCTTTTGTTCAACCTTGATGGATGGTCTTTTTTGCAATGGATCCCTTAGTGCTGGTCTCCTCTACCTCCAGCGTGTGTAGTAACTCCATTTTTGATTGATGGATTATGAATATAAATATAAAGTATAAATATTGTTTCTTATTAAAAAAAAAAAAAAACTTGACTGTGTCTAATATATTCTTCTTCAGTTCAGTGCATCTGTCATTCAATCGGGAGCTGTTCTCGAGCAGATGATTGGAGAGGCTTTACAATCTCATCAGCTAAAATGGTTCGTTCTATTTAAATTTTGGCTTGGATTTCTCCATGTTATAATTTCTTTCTTGAACTTTATGGCATTGCTCGTTCTGCATGTGTTTGGTTACTCCTTGAAGAGAATGGTATTAGAAAGAAAAAAAAAAATTTAATTTCGTTGTCTGGTGAATCTGTATTGCTGATTTTTCCTTCAAAAAAGAGCATCAAATTGGGACATTGTGATATTACTGTAAAATTAGCTCTTTATCAAATTCTCCTTTTGGCTGGCCATAAATCTTTTTAATAGTGACTGAAAAGATGATTATATTATATGTCAGTAAAACATTTCCAGGGGTCGAAGAACAATTTTATTGGGAAGTGTTGTTCTCTTCAAGAGAGTACACCAGCCAAATGTTTAGCGACTAAGGTGATTGAACTCATCCCTTTATCAGACAATGATTCTAAAGATTACATTAAAGGTGTTGGAGAATTTGAATTCATCGAATCTGTAAGCACCAGCAACCAAGTTGAAGCTAAGCCTTTTAATTATTTTAGAGGACGTGGATATCATTTTTCTTGAGGATCCTGGTTTTGTTTCTGCAATTCAAGAGATTGTTGACACAGGAAAGGGACCCATAATTTTGACCAGCAATAGTAAGAGTGCTTACTTGTGGAATTGATTTCTTTTTGTAGGAATTTTACAGAATACAATGATTTATTCACTTGTTTTATCCTTGAACTATAGGTAGCAGTCCTGTTCTCCCTAATACTTTTGGATAGGCTACAGGTCTTTTTTATACGACCACCATCAACGGAGATACTCGGCCATTTCTATATAAGGTGCGTGCTTCTGGCTCATCTACTACTAATGACATATAACTTAATTTCCACTCTGTTGATTCGTTATTGGTTCCCTTTCAGATTTGTGTTGCTGAAGGAGTCAGCAACCAACCATTCTTAAGGTATTATTCATTGTTGCCACAAAGAGATACGGAAAACCATTGTGTTTCTTCAGTTCAGGTGCCAGGGTAAAAGATTTAGAGGTCAGTCATGCTTTCAAAACTCACAACAAACTTTGACGTTAATATTTTGATTTGACACCATGCACTTCAAAATGGCCACAATTGGAATGTTTGTTTGGTGTTCGTTTGACTCTAAATTTGGTGAGGTTACATCTATATTAATGTGAACTTTGTCAACCCTAGTCTAGACTTTCCCACCCACGGAAGTAAGAGGAAAGCCTTCAAAGCAGATGACATAAACCCTTTGTTTTAGTCGGGCAATGATGAACATTTTATGCTGAATTTGTTTTTGGTTTTTTTGTTCAACTCTAGAGCCACTTGTCAAAACTCGTGACAAAACTTTGACTTTCAAAGTTATGGCTTGGAGATCCACTTCGACCTTCATTGAGGTCATCTCTAATACTCTTGATAGGAATGTCGCTCTATTCTTGCTTGCGCTTGAGTTTGGCGATTTTGCTCACTTTTTTTGGTGTGTTAGATGATGCATTGTCTTCTTTGGTCATACATTACCGACACTTGCATGCCACCACAACTTTTGTACACCGTGTGAGTCAAAAATTACTTTTTTCTAGTATGATTGTGACTTAACCCACAAAAATGGGTGCAGTCAAACATGCCCCCACTATTACTCTCTTGAAAAATACTTCTTAGTAGACCATTACTCACGATTTGGTTGGCATGTGGGTTGCCATTGTGAAATGAGTGGTTTCTATGTATTTATTTAGATAATCTCTTTTAACTTTAAAAAATGTTTAATAGATTTTCATTTCAATTTTACTTGATAGATTTTCAAACTTTCATTTCAATTTTACCTAATAGATTTTTGACATTTGGTTTTTCTTTTTTTAAATTTGGTTTATTATATAAAAATTTTAATTTTAATTATAAAATTTCAATTTTGTTTAAAAGAAAATGTTTAAAAAAAATATCTAAGTTATAAGACTAAATTTGTAATTGAATTTTGTTTGAATTAGTTATCAGCAAAATTGGCCTAAATTGAACTCTAGAGTGTATGCCTTCTTGTTGTAGCTAACTTAGTCAAAATCAATGTTATCTCATTGATTCTAAAAGTTAAAAGGACCTCTTACTTTCTTTCATAAATAGGTTAGGGGTGTGGGAAGGTGGAAAATGAAAGAAATTTGTAGTTTAACCAATGCATTTCATATCTGCCATGCATGTCAAGCTCTTCTTGAATCTGGACTGAAAATTTTGATGAACAAAAAATCCGCCCTTTGCATTAATGCCTGTCGGTGTATTAAGAAAAAGTTCCAATAAAATTAGGCTTTTCAAAAAGTAGGCCTAGTCGTGTCCTGACGGAACTCCCCAACCATTTCTTTCAATGAGAATTGGCCATTTTTTACCCTGTTAGTTCATCTCTTTGAAAGACCTTTCCCTTCCCTTCCCATCCCTAATAAAGCTTTCTTGGTAATGATAAGATTTTTGAAACGATTAGCAAAAGATGCAAGATGGTTACAGTAGAGAGAGTCTTCCCTGTCACCATCAAAATAGCCAGTTTGCGGGGTACGGTACTCTTCTTATTTGCATCGATGTTTCAGGTAATCTGTAAAAGCCACCCACCATCAGCTTCAGTGACTCCCGTGACTCAAAAAAAAGTTCTAAATCATGGCTTTGTATTTATCACTCTGTCCCATCTCAACCCCATTCCATTCCAACTCTCCTTCTTTCTCTCTCTCTCTCTCCTAAAAGTAAAAAACTAAAGATTCTATATAACCAACCAACTACCATCTTCCTAGTGAAAAAAGGGGTTCAATTTTTAAGGCAACCAAAGGTGAAAGAGAGGCTTGAAAGAGGTGGGGTTTGAGTTTTACCCTACTACAAGAAAAGTTGGCTGGCTGGCAGCAAAAGAAGCTTTAAACTGAGCGACAATGGAAGGGTTTGAGAAGTACGGTAATAAGAAGAGGGTGATGGTTGTGGTAGATCATACATCGCAGTCCAAGCATGCTATGATGTGGGCTCTAACCCATGTGGCCAATAATGGTGATTTCCTCACTCTTCTTCACGTTGTTTCTCACTCAAACAAGCTCCTCTCTGAAACGCCTTCTCATTCTTCTTCCTCGTCATTTCTTGCCAACTCTCTTGGCTACCTCTGCAAAGCTTCTAGACCTGAGGTATATAACTTCTGTTTTTGATCCTTTAGTTAGCCTTTAATTTGCATTTTCATCTTTAGACTGAATATATGAAGTAGGAAGGTTTTGGATGAACTATTATATATCCTCCTAGTCCTAGTGCTTAATGGGTTTTACCTGGATTTTCTATCCTTGGTTTCCCCTCCAATGCATGTGTTAATAAATGAAATGAAGGGTAAAAGAAAGCATAGTGGCTACTAGCTAGCCCTTTCCTAGTGCTCCCTCATCATCCAGATTCGAGGGCCATTTGTAAATGACAAAGGAAAGGGGAAATCGAGGTGGAACCATCTTTTTAAGTATTACATCAGTGCGGTGTTGGGTTCTGTGGGTGACTTTTTCTTATTTCTGGTGCAAAATTTCAGGTGGAAGTTGAAGCACTGGTGATACAAGGCCCGAAACTAGAGACAATTTTGAGCCAAGTGAAGAAGCTTGAGGCATCTGTTTTGGTGGTGCCCCAGAAAAAGCCTTCTCTGTTTGGATGGTGGGTACCAACCCATTCATTATCTTATCTTGGCCCTTTTTTCATCCAAAAAAACAAAAGCAGTAAAAAGTATGAATGATCATGAATACTAACCTGGTCGACATGGTCATTTCCTTGCAGCTTCTGTGGGACCAGCAGCTCAGAGCAGCTTGTGGAACAGTGCATCAGCCATGCCGATTGCTGTACAATTGGAGTTAGAAAACAGAGCAATGGCATGGGAGGTTACCTTATCAACACCAGGTGGCAGAAGAACTTCTGGCTTCTTGCTTAGTTGTCTCTAATCTTACCTTAACCCTGTAACTAAACGTTAGATAAGCTAGATGACCTTAGAACACTCCATCAAAGTTGGAATGATCCGAACTTGATCCGAACTTCAGATCTTTCAGGCTAACAAAATTTAATAATTCATCCATTCAGATGAACTTGAAAACTGTGTTGAGTCCCAAGCAATAGAGCAAGTTCAGCATCAGAAATCTGGGAATAGTTTTATGTTTTGGTTGCAGAATTTGAATGGAAAGCAAGCTTAAGAACAAAATTGATTGGAACTCTTAACAATAATTGCCTCTATAATCACAGATACGTGGGATAACTAGCAAAGGAAGAGGTAATATCAGTCTCTCATTGATATGCTAAAGCTACAAACAACGATATATGTGGCAGGGAGATAAAAAGATAGAGTTATGATGAAGAAAAAAAAATCGAAGTTCGCCTAAAGCAGGTGGACAGAACGAACAAGCCCCAGTATTCTGCTTTTTTTGTATTTTTTAGTACTCCTTTTCTCTACTACCCGTGTGCCAACTACCAAGACTTCAACCGCAACGAAACCAATTAGACCGTATCATCCAATTTATCATTTACAAGGGGGAGCAGCTCCATCCGACTCCGAGGGGTCCGAGGTGTTCTAGGGGTTCGAGGGGTTCCGGGTGGCTGCTGTGAGATAAGATGTCTTACATAGCCATAGAATGTACAACCCAGAAGTGTAATTGCACATCCAACTGCATTAAGCATTGAAATCGGGTTTCGAAATATCGACCATGAAACAAGAACAGCAACAGCTACCTGAGCAAAATGCAAATTCAAATGAACGCATTAGGAAATTTGTGTAGGGAGAATGCAATTATAATGGTCTTTAAGATTAACATCCATGGAAATTGGATCAAGCAGATCTTACCTTTAGGTTTCCAGCAACATTGAACGTCACAGCAGTGGTAGAATGAATCACATAAAATATGGAGAAGTTAAGACAGAAAGCCATCACCCCAGAGCTGAAAATGATGATGAGTGACGAGGAAATTGACTCGTGAGTGTGAAGCCAATCGAGAACACCGTTACCTTCAAGGAGCATTGCAGGTACTGCCAAGATCATGGTCGCGAACGGCGCCATGTAATACACTGTATTTATGCTGGTGTGTCCAAAAGAAAACAAACACCAAAGATCCAACATTATTAGCAAAACATATATGAAACAACAGAAGAACAAAGAACCAATAACACAGATGATTATTCGTTGGATGGTAGAGAATCAATGGAAAATGAAAACCAGTAAGGGTTCGGGGAAAAGAGGGTTTCATTGGAAAAGATTTAAAAGTTCAATCACTATATATTAAATAAAGATCAACTACTGATAACTGAACCATGTCATATTATAATATACGTCGGAGGAAGAAGCCATTTCATTTAACCATCAATGCCATGTATGCATATCACGTACATAATTGAAGCCATTCAAATGTTCATGTTTATAAGGATTGTATTTATAAAATCAAGATTACAAACAAGAAGACTGAATAATATCAATCGTACTAAATTAAATGCAACACCTAATGAAAATACTTGTAAAAAAACAGTAAATTTTTAATGATTCAACGTTCGATATTAAAAACATTGAAAGAAAATTCAACACTACATGTATTCGTTCAATTATGTGATCTTAAAAGGCATCCATAATTGGTTCCGTTGTTATTCTCATAATTTTGAGTCCTGTTGTGAAGGAGGCCAAAACGTGCCACAGTGTGAGAACGCATGCAACTTAGAAGAAAAGGATTGTAATAAATTGTATTGTAATACGAGTGACTGATGAGTATCAAAATGTCAACCATTGGTGGGGGTGGACATATGACACAATACCTAACTAAGGTAGTCGTTCTTCCCATTATAAGAATCCAGCACCAAGAATATCATTCATCAGTAGCTGAAGGTTACTATTTTACGTTACAACGAAAAGAGAAGGATGCGAGAAAGGGAACCAACAGCACGGCATTTTGATAACATTGACAGGAGTCGATAGAAAATCAAAAAGGTTGAATTGCTAAAGAGAGAATAATACAGACTGCAGCAAAGAACAAATTACTAGTAATGGCAGAATTGATCTTCAGAGATGGTAATGTTCTCTTTACAGATCCAAAAAGAACAAAAAACAGTGAGAGAAAAGGCTGCTGGATGAAAGCAAATGTAACTGCCCAAGCTCACTTCTGGCAGATATTTCTTTGAGCTTTTCCTTTCGGGCTTCCCCTCAAGGTTTTTAAAACGTGCTTTAAACCTTGAGAGGAAGCCATTGAAGGGAAAGCCCAAAGATGATAATATCTGCTCACGGTGGCTTAGGCTGTTATAAATGGTATCAGAGCCAGACACTGGGCAGTGTGCCAGTGAGGACGTTGGGCCACCAAGGGGGGTGGATTGTGAGATCCCATATTGGTTGGAGAGGAAAACGAATTATAAGGGTGTGTAAACCTCTCCCTAGCAGACGCGTTCAAAAACCTTGAGAGGAAACCCAGAAGGAAAAGCTCAAAGAGAACAATATCTGCAAATCGTGGGCTTGGTCTATATTACAAATGGTATCAGAGCTAGACACCGAGTGGTGTGCCAGCGAGGACACTGAGCTCCTAAGGGGGGTGAGATCTCCCATCTGTTTGAGAGGGGAATGAAGCATCCCTTATAAGAGTGTGAAAACCTCTCCCTAGTAGATGCGTTTTAAAACCGTGAAGTTGAAGTTGGCCTCCAAGGGAGGACGGACAATATCTACAAGCGGTGGGCTTGGGCTGTTACAACTAAGAACAATGAAGAAAGTATATACTAATTCATTGGCTTGCACTGCTCTACCAATTCATTGTAGACTAGGGAACACTTTCAATATTTTTTCCAATTCATCCAACCAAAACTAACCACTGCTGCATACTTAAGAACACATTCTCTTTGGAAGTCTTTGCAGGGTTTTAATTTATACCTGACAGGGAATTAACTTTTCAGTATCTATGGTCCTACTAATTGCATGAACGATACTGAACACATATCAGATATCTGTTCCTTAAGGGTATTTCTTAATCGGGGTTTTTAAGCAACAGCTATCCATCTAAACCCATAAAAAGAATGCAACACCCAGGAATTCAGGATGAAACTTGAAATCCAAAATGAATTAACCACGCATAAGGGCAGTAGTACCTGTCAAACTTGTATCCATGCAATAAGGACTCAGCAAGGATGGTCTTTGTTGAGGTAGCCAAACAACCAAATAAGGCAGCACAGAACCCAAACATGTTAAAGCTCATCTCAGTCACAGAAGTAAGAAGAATTCCTCCAACAATGGGTATCAAAGCTGCCCATATTCTCCAGTCAAAGTACTTTCTCCATACAAGCCATTGTAAGACAACTGTTTACAACCAATTTAAGTCAAGAACAATGAATGTAACCACACAATTTTACATTGAAATTGCAAAAATCAAAGAAACTTAGAACAATGACAAAGAACAGATAATCACCAAACAATATAAATTCAAAAGCGTACCGGTTGTTGCAGGAGTGAAGGACTTTATTGTCTGCATGAAAGACACCGGAATATAACGCAAGCTCACATTCCCCAAAACTATGTTGATACAAAACACAAACGACATGGGGAATATCCTTCTCCACCGATCTTGAGGGTCAACAGAAATCAGCGGCTTAACTTTCAACACTTTAATCGCTATATACGCTCCAATGGCGGAGCAGATGAAGTGAATGCAAGACACTGTTAGAGGAAATTTAAAATCCAATTTCTGCAGAAAACAAACAGATCAAATTCACAACGACGCTAAACATCCAAGGAATAAAAACACGAATAAATTGAACTGGAAGCAACCGAATCGAGAAAGAACTAAACAAGAAATGGAAGAAAACAGCGGAAATTCAGCAATACCTGAAAGATCCACTTGTTCATGATAATGACGGTGACATTGAAACTCCACCATTGAAGAATCGCGAAGAGAGATCTAATGGTGCTCCACTGGCACAACCAAGCCTCCTCCATCTCTCTCGCTTCAGACCTCAGATGACCGAATGACCGACCGCAAAATCCCAATCAAACCGAAATTCCGATTTAACAAAAAACCTCCAACCTGAAATCGGAATTGGAAAACGCTCAATTGAGCGTAGTTGGGACCTGAGAAAATGGTTTAGCAGCTAGAAGTTAGAGTACATGAAACGGATGAATTTGAACCCGAAAAAAACGCAGAAGGCATGGCATCCGCCAAGGATCGTACTCGAAATTCTCTCACTAATTCATTGAAATCCTAAACACGCTTCAGTTTGTCACGTCTATGGCTTGAGCTTTCGTTTGTTCTAAGGGTCTCTGTGCTCATAAAAGAGAACGGCAAGCGCAAGGGCATGGCTATCGCTATGGCTATGGCTATGGCTATGGCTAATGGCTCTTGGCTTATATTCTCTCCTCCCTTTTACACGCACCAAAAGGCTTGGGGATTGTGGCTCCCACTTTACACGTGTCCATTACTAAAGAAGGTCAAACCGTCAACGACACGTTAGACGAATCTCAGCCGTTGGTTCCTTGTTTTTGACGGATCACAGAATTTGACGCATGTTTTTTTATAAAATTATTTCAATATTATCTCTCATTTTGATTAATTTTATTTATTTTTCGTTTCAATTCTAGTATTTTTTTTTTTCCCAATCCAATAATTAAAATGAAATAAATCTAAAATTTACTTATATTAGAATAAATATATTAAAAATAGTAGCAAATGATAAATAAAAGACAATAATTTAATAAACAAGAAAAATAAAATAATAGAAGCGTTTTGGAAGTTTTTAGGAACCGTCGAATATATTAATGCGATTTAATGAAACATTATTAGCAAATAAATGAACCGGAAAAACAAGGCTGTTACTTTTCCTTTCAATAATCAATTAATATATATATACACATTTATTAATCTCAAATAAATCGTACATAATAAATAAGATAGCACAATCTATAATGTATTAGGCGAAAACGCAACGCAATTCCGATGTGGGAATGCTAAAGAGCGCAATTTCATCACGGCTTCCCCACTTTTCAAACCTTTCCATTCATTCTTATTTATAGATATTGGCTATCTTTTGACCGTCGGATGGATGCATGCAATAAAAATATTTGACTTTAATTCAGGTTTGTCGATTTTTTTAATCTTTTTTTTTTAATATAATTTTTTATAATGCTTTTTCTTAAAAGGGTTTCACGTACACAACTCATTAATAGCAGCAATATCTATTTTTTTTACCAACAAAAAGAATTTACCACAAATTATCATAATGAAAATGTAAATAAGTAAAATATCAAAGCTAGAAGAAAATATAATATCTTCAATTTTACAAAAATAGATAAATAATCAATGTCTATATTAGTAATATTTTGATATTTTTCTTTAATAGTTGGTAAAAAATTGTAACGTATATAGAGCAAAATAGAACTTCTAAACTATTTTTGTATTATATTTTTCATTTTTTGATAATATATTATAAAATAGATGTAAAAGATTGTATCTTAGAGCTTTTGACCACAGTACTAAATAGCTGCTTTATTCTCGAGGGGTTAATGGCAAATGAACATGAACTTGGGAACAAAACTTCAGAAACTAGAGTCAACTAACTAATAAACTAAGATTAAACCATGAGTTTGGAGCCTTGTGAATTTGCATCTCCGGTTGCAGCTTGTTCTGCTCCTGTATCAGTCCATAAGGAATTGGATCAGTGTTGAAATCTATAGCTTATAGAACAGTGTTGAAAGATCCGACTATGATTTTGGACCGGTTTAGAATGGCTTTCTAAGTGTCGTTAAAAAGTCATTCCAAGTCGGTCTGGTCTTCTTTTCGTTATCGAGCTTGACAAAGCTCTTTCAAGAGTATTTGGTTCATATGTTCTAACACTTGAACTAAATAAGATGGATGGAATTTGACCTAAAATCTCAATTGAGACTTAAAACTGGTTATCATAGGTAATCGTTTTATGCATTACCAACATTGTTATGAATGGATTCAACAAGAAAAAAGGTAAGAGTTTTGCATCAAACATGCATTTGAATGGTTTTTTTTCATCCAGTCTATACTTGGGCTGACGATCCGTTTCTACTAAAAGCAGACATTTGAGTCATGTTAACATGATTACCAGTTCTGGAGTAAAGATCTTTATAACTCCACACAAGTTGTGAAATAAAAACTACAGTCATCGTCCACGGGGTATTATTATCACACGGTTGACGAAACTAAAACAAACTAAATCACGACTCGATGGTGGACTGGTTTCCTTGCTACCTAGAAACTTATCACTCTTAATTTGGAAACATAACCGACCCATAAAAACCGATCGTTTCTGCTGATTGGTGTGCCTTAACTAAATAGAATAGAGAGACTACAAGGAAGATGCCATGTCCATTGATGATTTTACAACCAAGTTGGTGCTCATTTATGTGGGAATCCAAAGGAAACACAAAGCCATTACTAGTTTTCTTCTCCTTGGGCAGAAAGGTTTGTGAAGCACTTTTCCTCTACATCAAATTTTTCGGTTTTTTGTTTCTCAACCAAGGATAGTCCAATGCAGCTTCGGTATGGAATCAATTCTAATGAAAAACAGTGATTCTAGGGAAGAATGCAGTCTAGGACTAAGAGTCACGATCTGATATTAACAGAGTTATAATAATAGGGAGAGATATGGGGAAGAAGTCTGAGATTTAGAGAAGTTCAATGTTCTTTTTTATTTTCCCCTTCCATCTCCTTTTGTGACTATTCTACCTTCGCAATTAACTTCAATTGGAGTGCCCTCTTTAAATTCCGAGCAGGAGAAATTACTTCGTTTTCCATATAAGCTTTTAAAGTATCTCCTTCCTATAACAGCCCAAGCCCAAGCCCACCGCTAACAAATATTGTCCTTTTCGGGCTTCTCCTCAAGGTTTTTTAAAATGCATCTGCTAGGGAGAGGTTTCCACACCCTTATAAAGAATGTTTCGTTCTCCTCCCCAACCGATGTAGGATCTCACAATCCACCTCCTTCGGGCCCAGCGTCCTACCTAACACTTGTTCCCTTCTCCAATCAATGTGGGACCCCCTAATTTACCCCCTTCACGGGGTAGCATCCTTGCTGGCACACCATCTCATGTCCACCCTCTTCGGGGCTCAGCCTCTTCGCTGGCAAATCACTCGGTGTCTGGCTCTGATACCATTTGTAACAGCCCAAGCCTACTGCTAGCAGGTATTGTCCTCTTGGAGCTTCCACTTTCGAGCTTTCCCTCAAAGTTTTAAAAAAGCGTCTCCTAGGGAGAGGTTTCCACACCCTTATAAAGAATGATTCGTTCTCCTCTCCCACCGATGTGGGATCTCACAAAATCACAGTTGAATAACCATGTTTTCTGGGTAAAGTTTTATGCATCTTATACTATCCACAAATTCTTCTCCTAATGACAAACAAGTATATAGTGGCTTTAGGCTTGACCGGATTTTGGTTCATTCTTTTATCTTAAATTTGGTCATCAATTACAGCATCCAATAATAGAACATTCAATTCTCAAACACTTATTTGCCTATAATGGTGATGACAACCATTCTCTTTAGATCCATAATCTTTTGGTTTTGGCTGCTAGTTCTTAGACAATTAGAATCAATGACAACCAAGAACGCGTTAATCCATTATGACAACATTGAACTTCAGAATTCGACAATGAGAAAAATCAGGCCAACAATGATAGATGAAGTGGTAATGGAAGCCAATAATTTTCCAAGGGAGTTTCAAGTGCTTGGAATGTCCCGACGACGAACTCAATTTCTAACACGAGTCCTATATGGATAAATCCTTGTACCATTTCCTTAAAAAACTAGCAAAAATTTCCAAATTCTACTAAACACACACACTTCCAACAGCAGAAAATCAAAAAAACAAAGAATAGATCAGAGAACAAGAGAGCGAAGAAAGAAGGAAGGCGTATATTACCGGACGGGGATACCGGAGCTTCGCCATAGATAGCTTTGATCCTGGCGAGAGGTACCAAAGCGGAATCTGTTGAGGCATCAGAGTATAGCTGTTGCTTCCAATCCCACATGGTTTTCTTCAGCGATTTATTGGAATTGAGAAGCGAATCTTTCTCAGCCTCCAGAGCTTCGATTTCCCGCTGCTGCTTGATTGATCTTGCGCTCAATGCGCCAAAGGAAATGACCAAACAGACGTTGATTAGGGTGTTGTTGTTGGTGGCGCTGGTTACAGTGCGAAGAAATTTGGTGGCCAAGTCCATTCTGCAGTGAAGATCGGGGAACCCTGAGGTTTTTCAGCCGCGTCGCCGTTGTCTTCCTCTTTTGGGGGAAGAAAGATCTTCGTGGGCTTTCTCGGCCCATAGTTGAAATGAATTGGGTCGTAAAGTGGGCTTACGGCCCACTACATTCCGTAGGCAGAGCACCTTAAGTAAATGACATTTTAGTCCTCCGAGAGATCTAACTATTTATGAAGTTTCTTCAAATAATAGGGACGAGGTTGTAATTTAATCTAGAATTTTTTTTTAAATTTTATATATGTTAATGGATGGAATTAAACTTAATTAAATACATTATTTTTAGCGGAAAGAATTGAAACCGATCCCTATACTCAAATTTATAGATTTAAATAATTATCGTAATTTTAATTTAAAATTTATATTGAAACTATTAATTTAGACATTTAAAAAAGTACATTTTCATGTGTATTTAACAAAAATATGAAACATAAACCTAATACAAAATGGATGGGAAAAAGCTTGAGGTTGGGTTTGTTTTTTGGAACCTGATCCAGTTCGGGTTGGGTTCGGGTTCGGGTTCGAAATTTAAATTATTGGGTCAACCCAACCCAACCCGAAAACTTTAAATAAAATAGACCCAAGCCCACGTCGCCAAAGCCCATGAATCATCGTCTACATCTGCTCCTGTCCCTAGCGAGTCTACACTCTCACTGACTCTCCCTGCTCTTTGACCGTGAGCCCGAGACTGTCTTGTAGTCTCACGCAACGTTCGTCTTTGACCTCATTTCACCACTACGTGACTCCAGACGTTGACGTCACTCGCCTCTTTATTTCTCCATTGGACTCTCTTCTCAATTCTCATTTCTCCGCTTGATCTCGTCTCTATGTTTCTCGTCGGACGTCGCCACCAATTGTCTCTCTGCTCAACGCTCCATTCCACTTCCATCGAACTTCTCCACTCGACGCTCCGTTGTTTCACAACCCGAACCCAACCCGAAAATAAAGAGTTGGGTTGTGAAAATTTTCGGGTTGAGTTGAGTTACCAATCCAATCAACCCAAACTTTTGTGTTGGTCCAAAAAACTCCCTGGCTCAACCCAACACAAACCATGTATACCCCTAATCACATCCCTCCCAACGAACATTCTAGTTTTTACTACCACACAACAAGCATTTACAATCAGTGCATTCTCAAAATATCTCCGTCGACACAATATTTAGGAAAGCTCTGACCCCTCAATCGAAGGCATATATGCCTTAACGAATTTAGCTATGCTCGTGTTAGTGTCGTATACACTTACACGCCACAAATCAAGGCATTTATTCAAGTTTTACAATATACAGCATAACATACTCAAACCATTCAATTTGGGAACATACAGATCCATTTGCACTTGGTATATGCAGGGAAACACATTTATGTTGTTGTAAATTTATTTGATAGATCAAGCAGATCAGTTCATCCTAAATGTAGTAATATAAGCGGTAGGTCGACTTTCTCGAAGAACACGCACGCGCACGCGCACGTGCACAAGGAGCATCTGTGACTGATCTAATGATTAACACAGACAAATTTATAAACATAGTACGAGGTTGCTTACAGGTTTGATTTCTTGTCTTCAGAGTATAAAAGATGGTTCCAAGTTGGGTTCCTCGGGAGAAAGGTGTCCTGAGAGCCACAAAAATGATTCAAACACCCTGGGGAAACGTCAACTATAGAGTATAAACTTAATGGCTATGAACAACAACCAATCATTATAGAAGCTCGTGGAAACCTCTTCTTAGTAGACATGTTTTAAAATCGTAAGACTGACAACGATACGTAACGAGCTAAAGTGGACAATATTTGTTATCAGTGGACTTGAGCAGTTACAAAGATATCAAAGCCAGACACTGGACGGTGTGCTAGTGAGGAAGCTAAGTTCCCTTGTGAGATCTCACATCGATTAGAGAGGAAACAAAACATTCCTTGTAAGAGTGTGAAAACCTCTCCCTAGCGTATTTTAAAACCGTGAGACGCATTTTTCCGCTCTCCCATCTTGCGTAAGTTATGGGAAGTCAAAATCTCTCTCTTTTCGACGATGAAAACCATCAACCTCATGTAGAATTCCTCCTCGACAACCATTTCCCTTGGGGGTGTATCTTTTTGCAAGGAGCACCATCAAAGGTCGTATAACGTCCTATGGTTGTGTTGTGCCATTTTCCACGTCAATTCGAGGGAAGTTTTTCTAGACTGTTGGAAGGTTGTAACGACTCAAATCCACTGCTAGTAGATATTATCTGCTTTAGCCTATTATGTATCGCTGTCAATCTCACGATTTTAAAACGCATCTATTAGGGGGAGATTTCCATTTCCCTCTCTAACCAACGTGGGATCTCACAATCCACCTCCCTTAGGAGTCCAGCATCCTTGCTGGCATACACCACCTCCCTTAGGAGTCCAGCATCCTTGCTGGCATACACCGTCCGGTGTCTGGCTCCGATTCCATTTGTAACGGCCCAAGTCCACCGCTAGTAGATATTGTTCGCTTTGGCCCATTATGTATTGCCATCAACCTCACGGTTTTAAAACACGTATACTATAGAGAGGTTTCCACAACCTTATAAGAAAGGATTCGTTTCCCTCTCCAACCAACGTGGGATCTCACAATCCACCTTCCTTAGGAGCCCAACATCCTTGCTGGTACACACCACCCGTGTCTGGCACTCTGATTCCATTTATAACAACTCAAACCCACCGCTAGCAGATATTGTTCTCTTGGGGCTTTTTCTTCTAGACTTCCCCTCAAAGTTTTAAAAACGCGTCGGCTAGAGAGAGAGGTTTCCACACCCTTAAACGAAATGATCCGTTCCCCTCTCCAACCGACGTGAAAGGCAGATTTCTTTATATTCTAAGGAAAAACATCTAAACCTATTGGTAATCCATAGCCATATACAAACGCACAAGCAAACAGAGGTATTAAATTTGAAGATGAGTAACAAAACAAGCACACAAGAACGCAGCAATGATCCCCAAATGAGCAAAACAAACCAAAACTACACAAACCCAGGAAGGAAATTAAGACTAAAACAAGTTATTCAGAAGTAAATGAAACTAAGGGATCAAAATTAGAAGAAACCCTAGAAGTTGCAGAGAAGAGAACTCACGGAAATGTAAGAACAGGAGGGAACGACGGCCAAGGAATGAGCGGCGGCGTGATTGAAGGCGGCGGCGCAGAGATGAGAAGCCAATCCCAAACCCCTTTTGGAAGAAGGAACGAAAGTGTGAATCATATCGATGACTTTACCTTGATTTTTGATGACGTACTGAAGATATGCCTTCTTGTCCTCTGTTTCGAACCTCCGTTGGGCATCATTCCAGATTATCTTTGGAGGGTTGGTTCCAGATCCTGCTATAGGGTTTGGAGTCGCCATGGCTGTCCCTTTGAAATCCTCGGCTGCTCAACTTCGGAGATAGCTACGTTGTTTGGAATTCGAGGTTTTCTTTTTTGGAATTGGAACCTTGGAGTTGGACTAAGCCTTAACTAGATGTCTAGCTGCTTGCCTGTCTGGTCGGATTTTTTCGTTTCCGCTTAGCTACCAATGTATTTAACAAATATCAGTGAAATTTTGAAGGTTATATTTATGAAAAAAATTAAAAAATTAAAAAAATTATTACCCTTCATAGATTATTTTAAGACGTCCTAATTAGAAGTGTTAAGCTTGTCACTGTAGGCTTGCTATGCAGCACTCACTTCTCAACCATAAGTGAGTTAAAGCTTATTTGTTCTTGCGTTACCTATGACCAATGAGTTGAACCTATTCGTTGTATACTCGACCTATGGCCAATGAGTTGAACCTATTCGTTGTATACTCGACCTATGGCCAATGAGTTAAACCTATTTGTTCTTGCGTCACCTATAGCCAAGCGACGTATACTCGACCTATGGTCAATGAGTTAAGCCTATTTGTTCTTGCGTCACCTATGGCCAAGCGACGTATACTCAAGGCTCTGGCCCTAGTTCAAGAAGAAAGTTTTAGAAAACGGGCAGATTTTGAATGAGAGTTTTGAAAGCAAGATTTGAAAAATTAAAATTGATATTGTATGGGGATGTAAGCAAAAGGCAACAACGACTTACTGCATATAACTATCAGGTAGAGAGAAGTTGACAAGTATAGGACACCAGAATATCGAACCATGAACGAAGAAAGGCACAGGAGAGAAAAGCATATTGGTTCGTAAGAATATTTTTGAAACGTAATACTATCGATAAATATATTTTAGAATTTTTTTAAAAAGTTCAAAAGTGTTTTTAAAGTTATCAAAATATATATATATATATATATATATATATATATATATATATATATATATTAAGGTGTTTTTTTAAATTCTTAAAAATGTTTTAAGGGTATTGTTAATTTATTTTAAAATTTGGAGTTTTTTAAACCTTTTTGAAAGTAAAAAAGGTATTTTTGAAAGTAAAAAAGGTATTTTTGAAACAAAGCGTTTAACGGTTTCGATCCAAAAGTAGGTATTTTATTTGAAGAATATTTGGGTAATTTTCAAAGGAATCTGCATCCAAAGGTAATGTCCACACCGACTAAATTTAAAAAGAATATCACACAAAACAACCAGAAGAGCATGGAGGTTTGTCATAAAACCTGCTCATTACCATAACTCAATACAATACAATACGTTCAGTTTGACATCAACAGAAGTAACACAGTAACAAAATCTCCTTGAGACATTTGAATCACAAATTCAAAGACGGTGGATCGACTTTACGTACTTTAATCTGCACGAGATTGGCCTGCTCGAGATGAAAGAATGATACCGACAATGAGACCGTAGAGGGCGAGAGCTTCAGCGAAGATGAGGATGAGAATCATTCCAACAAAGAGCTTGGGTTGTTGTGCATTGGCCCTGAGTGCATCAAGAACATGTGAGGGAAGAGTAAGAATATCATTTGAGAATGACTTAGCTATGTAGTGAGGGAGAAAAGAACGCGAAAAATGATCTGTAAACCATGCGATGTATCATTGTCGTTATCTAATGCTGGATGACAAGTACAGATGCATGAAAGCAAAAGGAAAACCAGTAGAAAGAAATGGTCGAGCGAAAGGACGGGAATATATTTCGGGTCTAGAACAGTATAAGCTAGCATCAATACCTAGTCATAAAATAAAGAGAACTCAAATGAATTGTAGTTCTAACTCTCCAAGAACGAGAAAGAAGACTCATTACTCTTAAGAATGATGGAGCAGATGGTAAAGCAACCCCTCAGTTAGACAACTCATGGGATGATTAAGAGTGAACATTGAACATTGAAAGAAATGGCTCAATTACGCATCCAATATTGACACCTATGGTAACATCCTAAGCTCACCGCTAGTAGATATTGTCGTCTTTATGCTTTCCCTTTCGGGCTTTCCCTCGAGATTTTTAAAATGTGATTGCTAAGGAGAGGTTCCACACTCTTGTAAAGAATGTTTCGTTCCCCTCTCGAGCCAATGTGGGATCTCAAAATCCACATCCCTTCGGGGCTCAGCGTCCTTGCTGGCACTCGTTCCTCTCTCCAATCGATGTGAGATCTCACAATTCACCCCCCTTCAGGGCCCAGCATACTCGCTGGTGCTCGTTCCTCTTTCCAATCAATGCGGGATCTCACAATCTACCCCCCCTTCGAAGCTCAGCATCATCTCTAGCACTCGTTCCTCTCTCCAATCGATATAGAATCTCACACATATTCACGTGGAGATTCATGATACTATTCTCAAAATCTAACATGTTGATAGAATTCTATGCCAAAACACAAAATATTCCAACACTAGAGGCAATTATTATCCACTTTGAACTACATTTGTGACTCTACAAAATTGAAGCATTTATCAGAAACGTAGCCATTCAGGGTAATTATACGATCATATCAAACCACAAGACAAAAAACATAAAAACCTAACAGCCAAAAGGTATAGAGTATAAACATTACCTAACACCAGCATCACCAACAATCCCAATGGCCATTCCAGCAGAGAGACCAGCAAGTCCACAAGCAAGTCCAGAAGACAGATGAGCATACCCATCAAACAAATAGTAAGATTTCGCTTTCGGGTTTATTCCGGTACTAATAATAACAGCAATGATCAATCCATAAATACCCAACACTCCAGCCATAACAACAGGAACTATAGATTTCATGACAAGCTCTGGCCTCATAACTCCCATGGAGGCCACTCCAACTCCACTCTTTGCAGTCCCATAAGCAGCACCCATGCCTGTAAAAGAGAAATTATTGAGCACCCGTCTCATCATACTGCCGCTTCAACTGGATGATTGCGTGCTCCAAATAGGAAAAATAGGTAAAAAATGCTATGATGCGTTACTTTACTAGGAAAGAAAACACCATAAACCTTCATATGTTGTACTGGAATACAAAATAATACAAAAGACAATCATCTAAATTGTATCTGAGTTTCAGGAGCCAATTTGATCATCAGAGTTACTTCTCCGAGGAATTAAAAAAAAAAAAAAAAAAGAACTCCGGAGATCAAAGAAAACAGCATAGGATCCGCTTCGATCGATCAAATCTCATCTCACAACAGATCCACGCCACTTACATCACCCAAAGAAAAGATCTCCAAATTGGCCAATTACAAAAGATTCATCCGCGTCAACCAAGCCACAGAGTTCATCATCCCGATTGAATTCTCAGATTCAATCAGCAGCCAAATTAGAATTCAAACCAAAAACACAACAAGAAATGGAACCAATCTGATCGATCCACATCGCATCGCAACTAAAATGGAGAAAAGGAAAAATGAAAACAAGGAAGATAGAGATGCGAAGTTTACATGAGAATACAAGAGCTGCAGCGGCCCCGAGGAAGCCGAAGAAAGGAGCAGTTTCATCGCCACTGAAAGTAGACGCCATCGGATCAGAGCAACCAATATAGCTTCCGATCTCAAGACTCCGGTAACCTTTTCTAGGTTTTTTTTTTTTTTTTTTAAATCTTTATGTGTTCTTTAGATGAAGATATAGCAACACCGGTGATTGTTCGAACAGGAGAAAGGCCAGGAGTAGTCTAATTAATCAAGCGAAATTACCTTAATAGCCCTACAATTCTTTTCTATTTACCGTATCTGATCTGGAACGTGTAGTCACGAGAACTTCGGGTGTTTATTTTTATTCGAATTTTATGAATTATTTTTTTTTTAAAGACGAAAATCTATGAATTTTTAAATGAATATTATTTCAAAATTAACAAAACCTTTACATAAATAAAATCGGAAAATAAAAAGGTCCTACCGGGAGTCGAACCCAGGTCGCTGGATTCAAAGTCCAGAGTGCTAACCACTACACCATAGAACCCTTTTCGGTGTAATTTCTACAAACAATAAATTTAATAATAATATAATATCTTTATTTAAATTGGTTTTTGTACTTAATTTTGAGAAATTAGGGATTTTTTTTTCCTTTACAATTATTTCTAATATTATATACACTTTTTTATCTGATTTTGTTTGCGAAAATTAAAATTATTTAACGTTCATAACGTTACTCGAGAATATTTTATATTTGAATTTATGAAATTTGAGTTATTATTACTATATATATTATGGATAATTAATATTTTTTAAAATAATCAAGAAAAATAAAACAGTGTAATCCAATTCGTTGTGAACGTTATTCGGTTTATTTGGTTGAAAATTCTATTCCAACCCACCTTAACCTAACTCGGGAAGGCTCGGTTAAATATTTTTGCTAATTATATTTATTAAAGGAAAAATATTTCTTCAACCCATTATTTATTTATTTATTTAGTAAAAAAAAAGTGTATAATTTAAGGTATTTAGCCAAATTGAAATGTCGCAATCAAATTAAATCTTATTTTTCCGTTAAAATGCGGTTTTGGGTGTTGAGAAATTATTGAGAAAATACAGATAGACAAGAAAAAAAAAACAATCTGTTTCCTTTTCCCCGTCGATTTCTTCAATTTTTCGTCTTCAAGCTGCGCTTTTGATCATCGTTCTTCTTCCGATTCTCTCTTTCACCGCAATTTGTCTCGTAGAAACTTCAATTTTTGTTCTTAGGTCACAGCTTTTGTTGTTGGTTTCTATGCTCGCTCAGATTATGTCGGAACTTGATCGCTACTGTCAAGATTTAATCATTTTTTTGTTGCAACTGTGATTCGCCATTTACGGCTTCGATATCTCTGTCAACCGTTGCAGGCAGAATCGAAGTCGGCGTCGTATTCTGAAGCAGAAGAATGAGACAGTCGCCGGTCTTCGAAGACGATCACGTCGAAGGAACTCACGTTCGGGCCTTTTCGTCGCCTTCGCTCTGCCCTTCTTCTTCTCGCAGAGATGTTTATTACAGGTTCAATCTAATCTCTGGCTTATATCTTACTGTGCAGTCAATTTGTTGCTCTACTAAATGCTGTTGGAGCCTCTGAATTTCTTTTTGTTTTCTTTTTTCTCCTGTTCTGATCGAAGAATTGGGTTGATTTGCTTGATTAAGGGATGGTTTGGCGATTATTTGTTGGTTTGCAACATTAGTTGAACCGATTTCGAACTGATTAGTATTCTTAAAATCGTGATTGCCTTTTGAGAACGATCTGATCCGGCTTTTGGTGAAAGATTGTTTGGGTTGGGTTACATTGGACAGTAGTCGAGGGGAATTCAGCAGATTTTAGGGCAAATACATAAACAAGATTTTTCTGTGCTTATAATGGAATTGGAGAATTGTCAAGAACTGTAGGGCACCAACTGGTCTGACCTATTAAGAATTTATTTAAACCAACTGTTGGGGAACACATAATGAACTCTACCATGTGACATCTTTTCTGTATATATGGCATTCCCTTCTTTTTCATATTTGAAATTCTTCCCTCTGCTTTCTGTAGTAGCCCTGTAGTTTTTCCACATTTCATGAAGAAAAAGAGAACAACTACCCAAAAGTTCTTTTACGAAAGAGCTTAACTGATAGGACCCTTTTGTAGATAGACGTTGGACCGGTGAGTAGGGTCTAAGACCTTCTCGACGATGTCGAACATAAAATCTACTGTCAGCTGATCTTTCTAGTGGAGAGGATTTTTTTTTTCCTCAAGACAATTAAACATAAATGCAGTAGCAAACATATATATGATCCCAGACTCTGAGGGATGTGAGATGTTCTTGGAAGATGAGAAAGAGAATAGTCGTATACTTTCATTGAGGAAAATGCTAATTGAACTCTCCTATAACTCCTTCCAGACAACAAATCAAGAAGTCATGAACTTGCCTCATATTATGACACCTTGTAGCAAATCCTGTTTCTAGGGAAGATGAAGTTGGTAAATCTTGTCCTAGAATTGACCCCTTAGAACATAAAGATCGAGAAAAGGCTTGGAACCGATAACTCCTTTGTAGCCGTTGAGTTCAGAGCATTATAGCTACCCATGGAATTGGAAACCTTGACATGTGACGATGGGGATTCGAGTAGCTTTGTGTTGGGTGAGAATCGAAAACGCTTTATTATTTTCTAATTTTGTTTGAAATGGTCGGTAATGACATTTATACATCTGTGAGTCATTGCCAAATATATATGTATATATATACCCAAGATCAGTTTTGTTAAGCACAAGTATTAATAGGGCCAACAATGATATGCCTCAGAGTTGGGAATCCTCCAATTCCTTAATTTCTTAGTTTCTGGTGAACTTGTAATGACAATGGTTTATTTCATACAGCTGTGGTGCTTGTGGATATGAACTGAACTTGAGCTCTTCTAACCGCAATATATCGACCATTGGCTCTAAATATGGGAAATCAATAAAGCGAGGGATCATATCGTTTCTAAACATCGACGAGAGCAGATTTACACAGGTTGATCAACTTCAATGTGTGCCTCATTTCTCGAAGCACTCTTGGGGTCTGTTTCAACGTAGAATCAAACTACTGTGTCGAAAATGTGGAAACCATATTGGAAATGCTTACACTAGCCATACTTCCTCCTCCCCACTTGTTTCAGATGGATCAGATTCATCTTTGCCTAATGAAGTCTCTAGGTGCATGAAATATGAAGTGAAAATTCGTGCGTTACAACCCTCGTCCTCCCACGAAACCGGCCCCCCAGTTATTTAAACAAGGACAAGGACAAGGACAAAGGTTTATGAATTGGTCAAGAGTTACTAGCAGAAACAAATGCAGGATTCTCGATATGTGCTGTTTTACTTGTGAATAGAAGAATCTGGTCTCAAATGGAAGAAGCCAAGTGTGAAGGAAAAGGATTCACAGTTTATATTGTTCCTGCAAACTGAAGTATGATTTATAAGAATGAATTGTCTCAAAGCTACTGTTGTGTTTCTGGCTTGTTTTTTCATTATTTTTTGTTTTGCAACAACAATGCATTTTCATCTGTATTTATTTACAGTATAGAAGTAAATAAGTATCTTAATTTAGTTATAAAGATTCATTCCAATGCCTCGACTACCGTGGGATCTTCGTAAAGTTGATCATTATGAGTGTTATGACGAATTTGATTGGGAAGTTCAGTGGCAAAAGGAGATTCATTAGCTCGTTATTTAGTCAAACTTGGTGAGATGATGGAATCCATAAAAATTATTCAACAAGCTTTGGAATGAATTCCAGGGGGACCTTATGAAAATTTAGAAATACGATCTTTTGATCGAGGACAATTTCCAGAATGGAATGACTTTGACTATCGCAACTACAGTACTCGTCTAGGTAGCGACTACTAACTACGGTAACATGAGGATAGCCTAGTTTAAAAGGCTAGTTCCCACTAATCCACCCACGATCGGGATAATGAATTAAGTATATTAGTTGATCGTGATAGTATAGTAGTTCTGTTCTCTAGATTTTTCATCGATTATTGAATTCTTTCAGGTTAAAAAACATGTCCATGTCGATTTAATTCACACTCAGTACGAAGTTTCTTATGTGTATAGATCGATAAACTAATTGAATGACCAAAACAAACTTATAAACAAAAAGCAATTTTCACCGTTCGTGTTACAAATTTAATTGTTAAGGAACTAAAATGTACTCGTACCAAAGTGAGATATTTAGCCTTTCTTTAGGGTACGAGTGCGACCGATTCACACTCGAAAGTGTTAATTTAATAACATAAATGACATCAAATATAACTAGGAAAACACAAAACTGGCGCCATTCTCGTTTCTTATTAGAAGTTAAATTCCAGGACTCATGAATAGTTTAGTTGACGACAGCCTTGATGAAATATATTTAAGAGCAAACCAAAATCACAAGACGGCCAAATAGAGAGAATTAGTCCAAAGCTGTGTAGAAGCATCATGATCAAGCATATAATTTAGAGAGGTCTTCGGAGAAAGCCTTTCTAACTACATCTCTTTTAAGCTTGAGCGCTGCAGTAACAAGCCCAGATTCAGGCGTCCATGGGTTAGACAGCAATTTGATCTTTGCAGGGATCTCAAACTTCTCTAATCGTGCTTTCTTTGCTTCCTGTCAATTAGAATAAAAACATGGTGCCATTCTTTTAGTTTCCTTCAAGAACACCAAAGAAACTTGTGCTAGAATAAATATTCATATCAATTTGGTTCGATAATTGTATGTGCATATCAATTTGGTTCAATAATTGTATGTGCAATATCAATTTGGTTCAATAATTGTATGTGTATTGAGTGTGTATCATAAAAGGAGGATTTTCAAAATGTTCCAATTTTGCCTTCTTTTCTTCCAAGGAATCCTCGTGTCACCGGTTCGGTTCAAATATGCTATTAAAATAAATAAGTCTTATGTATCGAAAATGAAATGGCCGGTATAGCTTAGTTGGTAGAGTAGAGGAAATGAAATGGCCAGTATAGCTTAGTTGGTAGAGTAGAGGACTGAAAATCTTCGTATCACAGGTAAGGATAATGTGTCGGAAATGAAATGGCCGGTATAACTCAGTTGGTAGAGCAGAGGATTGAAAATTTTCGTGTGAGCCAGGGGAGGATTAGGATTAGGAAGTTGGTTGTTTTGGGAAGATAGTAAATGAAGAACCCAAGGTGCTCGTGAAAAGCATCTTGGGATGGGATTAAGAGGCAAAAACCAAATCCATGGCAGAATATAAGTAGTACCTTTACGAGTGAAGCTTGCACTTCCTTCACTACTTCTTCTTTACGACAGAGTTCAGAGAAATCATTTGTATCAATTCCTTGCTTAGAAGCCCACGCTTGTACTGCTTGTTGAGAGGCCACAACAAGAGCAACACAGTAACTATGAAAGGGATCAGCGTGCAGCATGATATTGTCAACATATGGGCTCACACTGAGTGCAGATTCAACCTGTAGGGAAAAAATAACCATTAAAACATCATAGAAAAGATGAATAAAAGAAGGAATCCTGCATGTTATACCTTCCCCAGAGAAACATATTCTCCATGTTGAAGTTTAATTATATCCTTTTTGCGGTCAATAATTTCAAGGCAACCATCAGCATGAAATTGTCCTATGTCACCGGTGTAGAACCACCGCATTCCCTTCGCATCGACCTTCGCAACAAAGAGACATTGCATCATTTGCAAATTTGAGGGACAAAAAAATACTACAGCTATCGACAGGGAGACTTTACCTTATATGATTCTCTAGTTTTTTCTTCATTTTTGAAATATCCAAGTGTAACATTTGGGCCACCAATTACAATTTCTCCTCGTGGCCTTGGCAAATCACTAGTTAAGTACCCACCTTCGGGCCAATCAATCAACTGAGAAAGTAAAACAAATGCCTTAAAGTTGAACCCTGGAGAACAAATGGTATGATCACAGAAGAACAACATCTAGTATAATTGTCAAGGTTGGATATTTTGTTTAAGCACTTTTTCCAAGTCTCTAATGTTGGACGTAATACATTCAGGCCCAAGATTCTGATATGACAAATACAGCAGCAAACTATTCTTGCCCAGCATACTTGTAAACTACCCTGTAACCCATACAAATACCTATACTTGTACACAGATAGTTGTACGTATCAATAAAGGATCAATGAATCACAAGGGTGCATAGATACCTTAACAAATGAGCAAGGAAGTGGAGCTCCTACTCGCCCAACGGTTAAGTCATCAAACTCAGAGAATGTCCCACCAGCACAAGTCTCAGTAAGACCATAACCCTGACCTATTGGAGCACTGAGAATAGGATACCACGAGATACATAAGCAAGATGGTAACTGCAATGCTAATGCATGCACATGCATTTCTAGTACAATAATGGACCGTGAACCAAGTTTTAATGCCTATTATTGGTTGCAGGACTTTAGCATCTCTGTCAACTACCAAATTGTATCCGTCACGTGCAGCATGCATTAGCATTTGTTTATTAACAATAATCCTGGATAGTTTTTGCAGCAGATATAATTGGATCAACAAAATATGATGCCATTAAAAAAAAAAAAGAAAAAATACACTGAGGTTCAAACCTCACGAAACAGTTTATAACACTATATGAATCTATGCAAGCACATTATTTGGTATCTCGTGTAATTAGTATCCGGATATCAAATAGTCCATAGGCATCTGAAATTTAAAAATCCAGCAGTAAAGGTTCATTTGTTTCTTGGATAATTGTCTGTATGATATGTGCATCAACTCTGACAGTAAAAGTCTATGGCATTCATAAGATTTTCATGGCATGCATACCTGAGACAGATGTTGATGAATCTTTGGGTATCGCCAGAAAGGGGAGCCCCTCCAGACAACAGAAAACGAAGCCGGCCTCCCAGAATTGCTCGTACCTTTCTAAACACAAGAAAGTTCCAAAAAAGCTTTTCCAGACCCCAAGCCCCAAACCAACTACCATTCATGGCAGATAGCCTACGAGAATATGCCAAATCAAACAATTTCTTTGCTAATCCACCTGTCACATTCAACTGAAATCAGAAGATTATATTATTATTAGCACCCAGATAAATGGATAGCAATCAGAAGATTATATTATTATTAGCACCCAGATAAATGGATAGCAAAGCATGAGTGTTCAAATAAATGCAACATGAACAAAATGTGCATGCAAAATTGACAGACCTTTTTAAGAACCCCTTCTCGAACACGATCTAAAATTGCTGGGACAGCAGTCATTACAGTTGGCACAAGAGCAGTTGCATCGCCCTTTGTCCCTCGTTTAATCTTGTTAGATGTATCAGTAAGTGTCAAAGGAGACCCATATCCAATAGCACATCCAACAGCAGCCATTACACTCTATAGAAACAAATATCACACATAAGAATTAGTCACAAAGCAGCAAAAGAGAAATGTATGGTTTAATTTTACTGAACAGCATAAACGTAACATAAGCTACCAAAATTATGAAATTAAAAGAATACAGACCTCTGCTGCTAACTCAAGGATATGAGCCATAGGTAAGTATGCGAGATAGGTATCCTTCTTCCCTAGACCAGGAACTATAGTCATGACAGCAGAAACTGTAGCCAGGACATTTGCATGTGTCATCATCACACCCTGTTCTCACAGCCATTATTAATTAACTATCAGAAAGGGTTCCAGGTCATCACGGAAATTTCAAACAAAGCAGTCAACTACCAAACAAGTAGATGCAAACAACACCGAGATGCAGCGGAAAAACAACACAGAAGCTCACGTTATTATTAAGTTAAGGAGAATCATAGTTTATCTTAACAAAGATAAAATTCCAAGATATATTAAGCTCTCAAGTTTCCAATATGCAGAGAGAATATTCATAGCAGAAGCGTAGGAAATATAGTGTAAATAACACAATAATTGGAGATTTGGAAATATCAGAAATGAAACTTGAGTAAGGTATAGGTAAATGTGCAAATGTACATATATGTGTATGTGTGCGTGTATATAAGTACCTACATACAAACATAGACGTTTCCCACCTTGGGTAATCCAGTGCTTCCGCTTGTATACATTATAACAGCAATGTCAGTTGAAATGGGTAACTCGGCACCGACATTACATTCTTGGCCAAGCAATTGAACTTTAGAAAATGAGGCAATTTTCCAGTTCCCGTTCATCTCAGAGTTTATAATGCTTTGAGGAATCTCATCCATACATATCACATTCTTCACTGTCTTAAGCCGTCCACTGATACCTAACAGTTTATTCAGCTCTTTCTGGCCACATATCACAGTCGTGACTTCTGTCTGGAGATGAAAAAAAAAGATCATACATATGTATAAATAATCAAAAGAGTTCAATGCTTGGTAAGGAGATAACCAACAAAACAAATTGAGCGTGAAGGAAATAGGGGATAGAATTTGAGAACAAAAACATATTTATATAAACATTTGGCTCGTTTCCTGATCCTGGTTTCTGAAAATTTTAAGTAGGAATAATGGTAGTGCGATGAATTTGGAGAATTAAAAAATGTAGCTTCATTTAATTTTGTGTGTAGCATATGCGCATACATATGAGAGAGAGAGAGAGTACCTCGTTCAACGAGTGACATAATGCCTCTTCTCCT